CGGAGCCCAAACCTCCCCTCCCCTGATTCTGGGTGGTGGAATCAATAGGAGGCACGCAACTCTGTAGCAGCAGGTGTCTATGAACGGCGGTAGTCACTTACCATCCGGTGACCCGTCTGCTCGTTTGCCTTCTATGCCATAAAAAACCATCAAAATCAGAAAACATACATTTGGTCATTATTTTCCCACCTGCCACCTAATTTTATCAGGGATCGGCGGAATATGTCATCATCATCATCATCATTAACAGCCTTTTTATTTATAAAGATATAAAAAATAATGATCACTCAAATATATAAACGAATACAACGAATCTAAACAGTATTATTTTCATTAAATCGCTATTTTAAAAACGGTACTCAAAATGAAGAAAATCCTGTCCATTAAAAAAGACATGAATTCCTTTATACAAAAGGTACAGTGCAATTGAGAACGTAATTTTTTTTGTCCTTAACCTTAACTCTTTTTAGGGTTTTGTACCTCAAAAGGAAAAAAACGGAAAGCTTACAGGGTCACTTCGTTGGCCGTCCGTCCATCCGTCCGTCCGTCTGTCTGTCTAGAAGACCCTATATTTCCATACAAAATTACAGGTTATTAGCACTAACAGTTTCCAAGCTAATCTGTGAACGGACAGACAGACGGACATGTCGAAACTATAAATTACTACGAAACTCGGAAAAGAAGAAATTGTCGTACATTACCAATATTTAAATGGAAGGACATGTAATAAAAAAGGATTTGTATACTGCTGCAGGTCATAATCGTTACACACTTTCGAATAATTTTGAAAGAGATAGATCAAGACGCAGAAGGGAGCTAGTTTCTCTATGATATTTGTAGCCATTTAAATTTATTAGGGTAGATATGATTGGTAACATGATTGCGGCCATGGTGCGGAGCGAGAGTGCGTGGAACTCCGCCGTCTCCTTCTGCAAGCAAGTTATGCTTGCGAAGGAGATGGCGAAGCGGGACCGGGAGAGGTTTAGAACTCTCCCGGCCCGCAGGGCGACCTCCGTTCTCCGCCGTCCGTCCGCCGGTTCGGTTCGGTTCGAGACAGACATAGCCACCGGCGGGTGGTATCCGAGGGAGAAAAAAAAAAAGGGTAGATATGATTATGTTAACGATAAGAAACCTGTAATGTATAATATAAAGAGATAGGTTCTGATTTCACACTTATTATAAGTGTGTATGACACTTCTGAAAAGACCGAACTCCCGCGGATAAGTTTAAAAAAGAGCCTCCTATATCGTAACGAACAATAAATATATAAGGACTTTTAAAACTTTTCACACACGTTTAATAGCCGAAATTTAAACCAAATTTCATGGATTGTGATGAAGCAGGACGGTTCGACTGACGAGGATCGGTGCAAAACGATCAATACGTAGGGTATCGTAGTAGATTAAATGTAGATTTTAATATTTTAGATATTATATAATACTGTAATAAAAAAAGACTTTTAAGACTGTCTTTGAAAAAGGACCTCCTCCTTTTTCAAAGTCAACCTCTAAGTACTAAATTAGGTTGTATTTTTTTCATGATTGTTACCTCAGAAATCAGTCATTTATGAACCGTCTCAACAAATGCTTCTTTATTTCCCGTTAGATCACATTTAAATTGGAAGAAAATCCCTTGAACCTTCCACCCCTCTCAGGGAGAAAAGATATTAAGAGTACAGTTTTTTACAATTCATTATAATAAAAAAAACCTCACACATCACAACACACGGCTGTCTGATTCCAAACTAGGCAGTGCCTGTGCTATGATAACCAGACCGCTGATAAACATACTTATAATTTCTAAATACATACATATCATAGATAAATTACACCCAGACACAGAACAAACGATCGTGCTCATCACACAATACTTGTCCTGGGTGGGAATCGAACCCACGACCTCCGGTTTAGCAGTCAGGGTCACCAACCACTAGACCAACAGGCCCGTCTATTATGATGTAGCATATGTAGGCGTTTGAAGCCGATGATACTTTTTTCAAAGTAAACTATTTAGTTTGACTATATAAAATAGATCCATGATTGAAACGGCTAGGTGATGTTTTGAATGCAGAGATTTAGAGGCAGAAAGAGAGATAAGAGTCTGTAAGTAATTTATGCCTGAATGAGATGCGTTTACGATTCTCCTGGATAAACAGAGATTCAATTAGCGCTGAAACCGCAGACCGCTGGCGCTTAAATATTTACCAACTCCGTTAAACGATGCCTATATTTAATCGATCATTTGCTAAAATAGTTACAACATCATACTGCACTGAACATAATCTCTGTAATATTGAAATAACAGCTATTTACTAAATGCATTCAATCAATGGACCGCCCATTTAATCACTCTCAGTACTAAATGTTTAAAGTCAGTTTTGAAGTATTTTTTGAGAAATTAACGAGGAACCCAATAATCTAGTAATGAACTTTGTACTCTTCCAATGAAACAGTTTATATATAGAACTTGAATATTGTAAAATCTATCTTTCAATATACAATAAACACGTATTTGTGTTAACATATTTGGTGACGGATTGGTAGTCTTAAATGACTATTTAAACCACTACGTCTGCGAGGTTCAAATTTGGCAGGAATTTCATCATTTATTAATATATTTGTAGCTCAATTTAGTTACAATATCAGTAACATTATGCCTGCAGCATGACACATCTGGGAAAACCCCGCGTGCGTCAACACTCGGGGACACGTTCAGCTTCTGGTATCGAAGTGCACTCGACTTAAATTAGAACAACAAGCGTCTAATAGTTCTCTGTAGGCAGGAAAAAAAGTTAATAATCAACTTTGACCGGCCCGTTGGTCTAGTGGTTAGTGATCCAGACTACTAAACCGGTGGTCGTGGATTCGATTTACACCCAGGACAAATATGTGATGAGCGCGATCATTTGTTCTGTGTCTGGGTGTGATATATATATATAATATGTATGTATTTAGAAGTATTTAAGTATGTTTATCAGCAGTCTGGTTACCTTAGCACAGGGTCTGCCTAGTTTTGGATCAGTCTAGCGTGTGTGACATCTGTGCAATTATTGTTATAATAACATTTAAAAAGTATGAAGGACTTCAATGAATACCACAATTAATGGTAATAAATCGTATTCATTGTTTCTTAATTTTCATCCCTAGAGGTGGTACTATTATCTTCAAGTTGCAATTTAACCAAACGGGAAAGATACTCTAAAAAAATAGAATAATTTGAAAAAGGTTTTGTCCTACACAGACATTTCCCCACCACCCAAAGGTGGACTGGGAGAAAATGCCTTTGGCAGTAATTTCGCCTTTGTACAATGAATTGGTGTTGGTGCAAAAAGAATAAAATAAATAAATAAATATTTTTCTGAGTGGGTTCAGAAATGAGCAAGTTCTGAGATAATAAACATTAAAAAAATAACATCCGTATTGAAAGACTAGATGCTTTTAACATACAAATGAGAAGTAAAGCATACAAATACATATAAAACAGACATATAAGATATAATACATAAGAAATCATTATAAATGTATAAATTACAATATAAGACAAAGTACTAAGTATATATTAAATTTGGGCATTCGTGAGTTACATTTTACATTTCATAATTAATATGTATTAGTCAATAACTTATTTTTATAAATTTAAGGAAAATATTTGCATAAATAATTGATTACGTGAATAGGTATCTGGATGCTAAAGAAGATTATAGATTTTCATTATTGAAACAGCTTAAAATATGTCACATAAGTTGGTAAAGCAAAAAAAAATAGTTCAAGGAGAAACGGAACAATAAAATATCATATACCTACACCTCTTTGAAGCTCTTTACAATAATTTTACTTTACTTAGGTAATCGTTTTTATAATCAAGAAGTGAAGGTATCTTTAGAAAATCTGCACTACCTCTGAATAAGCATATACATATCTCAATATATATAATTCTTCTGTACGTGTGTTTGTGACTGAACTCCTCCTAAACCGCTGAACAGATTTTGATGTTTTTTTTTTTATGTGTGTTCCAGTGAATTCGAGAACGGTTTAGATTCACAATTCGGTTCACTACGAAATATTTTTTTGGTCATTTTTTTATTTATATGTGTGTATAGGACAACGTCTGTCGGGTCCGCTAGTATTGTCTAAAGTATAAATAGCGTTTTTCGTAGCCGGGAGACATTTAGGACCTGGAATGTGTCACAAACCCACTTCTTTTAAGATTCAGTTTCTCTTTCAAGATTGTCATTTAAGAGTACCTGCCAGTAAACATGACAAAACAATAATATTGATACTTAAGTATAATGACGACCGGATGGCGTAGTGGTTTGTGTAACGGACTGCTATTCCAAATGTCGCAGGTTCGATTATCGCTCAAGTCAAACATTTGTGTGCATGAACATTTTAGTTTGATTTGGTCTGGGTGTTCCTATTTATAATATGTATGTATTTACAAAAAAAAGTATATATGTATTTATATCAGTTGTCTAGTAGCCATAGTACAAGCTCTGCTTAGTTTGGGACTAGATGGCGTTGTGTGAATGTGGTAGGATAGTATTATTATTATTATTATCTGTATAATTATTACACGTTAGAACTTAAATTAGTTACAACAATATCTACAATCAGAAGGCCAATTCTCGTAATTAAAGTTCGGTAAAAATACAGTTCCGATCAAGTTTCGATCTCACAACTGTCATAAAATATATTTTCGTTGTAAAATAGTAAAGTATAGTATTACTAGGACTAGCAGATTACCGATTCAATCCTCGTTAACAATATGATATAATCGCATTGCAGTGAACGTTGGATGTTTAATACTTTACTACAAAAATACCTTTTATGATAGTTGTGAGATCGAAAGTTGATCGGAACCGAATTGAGACCGAACTTTTATTACGAGAATTGGCTTTCTGGTTTCAGAATTGTTCAAATCAGACGGTTTCATCATAACCTAGCCAAATTGAGCAATATTATTAGTGTTTATGTATTAAAGTGGCTTTATCCTGTGTTTAGATCCAGAGAAATGGGAGCGACCTGACGTGGCGCGGTGTATCCGGTGGGTGGCGAAGACATTTTCATTGCGCGCTCCGAGGAAGCACCTGCTCCCGGACACGGGAAAGGCGCTGTTGGCGCTCACACAGGACAACTGGACACAGGTATTACAACTTCTGTACTTTTCAGGTATACACTACGATTGGAATATTGGTCAAGTGGTTAACGTATCTGACTGCCGAGACAGCTATGATGGGTTCGATTCCCACCCACGACAAATATTGTGTAACGAGCACGATCTTTTGTTTTGTGTTTGGGTGTAATTCATCTATATAATAATGTTTATTAAGAAATATTTGTGCCCGTTGGACTATAATAGACTTCCTCCATATTAAGTCAGTGGAACTAAAATTATAGTTACCAAATTTGGGTCTTTAACACGTTTCTATGAAACCCTTGGAAATATTGGTAAAGGTCAAAAAATGCTTAATTCGCTAGTAGTTAACATTTCTGGTATTGGTAAACTTTGTTTTCTAGTAAGTACATAATAATATAATACCACTAGTACAGCACATACCTAGGAGTATTTGCATTTCATAGCTACCTGGAAATGATTTTATATTAGCATTTTATTTTTGAGCTGAGCTTTCATATCTTGTCTAGTAAGTCGCAGTGAATGTATCACAAGTACTTTACTTGTCGTTTATGTTGTAAGGACTAAACTTTTAATTTATAGTTATTATAACGTATTTCTTCACCAGTCTGTCAAATTTGTAACTGTCGCTTTAAAACTTCACTCTGCATTCTCTATCGCATATATCATGGAGAGTGCTCCGAGGAATTGTTCTTACTTATACCAGTCGCAACTTTCCGCCATCGTTCCACACGGCAAAATTATCATCCTCATCACCTGGATAGTTGGTGCCCCATTATTGTGCTCTTTTCGAGACACTTTTTGCCTCGCACAACCAATCTGTGGAACGGGCTATCGTCTGCGGTATTTCCGGATCGACACGACCTTCAATACCTTCAAGAAAAGAGGCCGGCAACGCGCTTGTGACTCCTAAGTTGCAGATGTTCATGGGCGGCGATGGTCACTTTCCATCAGGTAACCCGTCGCTTGTCTGTCCCCCCTCTGACATAAAAAAATGTAAATAAGCTCATGAATATGGTGTATGGTATGTATAAAATGTTGTGTGAGATCATGAAATCAAACATGATTGGTTGTATTATAGATATGCGACGGCAATGAGCAGTCAGCGCGCATCTACCACGCGTACCTGCGACACACGCACGCGGGCGCCAAGGGAGCGCCGCCCCCCGACCCGCTGCCGGAGCACCAGGCTGCCTCCAGTAGCGCATCCGATTACAGTAAGTACTGTTTTTAAGAACCAATATTGAATTAGTAACCGATGTCACAATAAACGAGTCTTATTACAAATCTATACTAAGATTATAAAGCTGAAGAGTTTGTTTGTTTGTTTGAACGCGCTAATCTCAGGAACTACTGGTCCGATTTAAAAAAATCTTTCAGTGTTAGATAGCCCATTTATCGAGGAAGGCTATAGGCTATATATCATCACGCTAAGACCAATAGGAGCGGAGCACCAATGAAGAATGTTTCAAAAACGGAGAAAATTTATTACTATTGAGAGACGCAGACGAAGTTGCGCGGGTCAGCTAGTTAAATATATTTATAGAAAAATGACGAATCAGTAAAGATCAGTAGCGTTTAAATTCGTTTCTAAGAAAACATTACAGTTACAATTCAATCATATTGTGACTCAAAACGCAAAAAAAGCCTAAACCGGCTAATGTAGATCAATGGTGATGTTTTTGCATAAGACATAATAACATACATTTATAAATTTTATTTTACTTATGACACAACGCTCACAAGAGCGGGAATCCGTTAATCACGGTATTTTTAAAGTATAGTTGTACTATTATTTAAAATAACGCCATCTCTCGGCATGTAATTAAAGGAGAAAGCGCGCCAAAAAACTCATGAATGGATGCGAAGTGAATCACTCGAGCGCGCGTCCCATTCATCTCTCACGGTTACTGACTCAAAGCACGATTCGAGGAAATCAAACTTTGAACTGTAATTATTTGATACATGAAATGATTTAGCGTAAAATTAATAAAGTGGCGTAAATTACATTATAATCTATTTTATTTGATCAGTTATTAAGACGTGTTATTGAATGATATTGATGCATTTAGTTCTGTAATAATAGGTCACCTGTGTTAGGGTCACTGCACGTTTAACTATGCACCGTCGAGAATGCGTTCTTAGTATTGCTTTTTTTTCGTCCATCTTTTATTTTGAAGCTAGATGTATACGGTGTGCTACCTTAATGATTATCCCGCGTATTGAAATTTTATAATCTACAGTAAAGTAAAGCATATTTATAAGCAATGATGTTATGGTAATTTATATTTCCTATTTGAGATATAATATATCCATTAAGTCCTCTATAAGTGCCGATTGTCATCAAAAACTATTTCGGATTTACGCAATTCTATCCCCCATCCCAAGAGAATTCAGAAATGGCGCAATCTGCCCCAAAACAGTATCTTAATGGATCTCTCACGTAGGTAATGACCTCTGTTCGTTTTCGGATCATCATTTCACTGTACAGAGGGTTCAGAGTGTGATGGACCTTCAAGAATAGTGAGAGGGTTATTGTCATTCGGCCTTATTAATTTTGAATACTCGTTAACGAGTGAATGAACAATGTGAGCTGTTCACTCATATCGTAAGAATTAAAAACATGTGATTTTTTTTTGTTATGTTGTCTCTTTGCCAATTTTTAGGCGTTCCTTGAATGACTGTAGCATGTAGTCACATCAGTAAGTATTAAAGAAAATCGGTAGTAAACAAAGCTATTTGTAGAGTTGTAGATGTGGATTTTACTTTATTTGTGTTGTTATCGCGGAAGTCAGGGTAAGGGAAGTCACGAATGTGCCCAGGGCCTCAATTCTGCTATTTTATGTTCACGCCAAGCCTCTGTCATACCACTAGTAAAGACACTGAGTTAGTGTAGACTACCGATATTTATACCGATGCCAATGGCCACTCGATGGCATCTCAATAGCGCGTCAGTGGTATGACAGTGGCTTGTCGTGAACATAAAATAGCAGAATTGAGGCCCTGGTATGTTTGCCCTATTGATAGTCACTAGAAAATGAACATAAACTAACCATAACATTTTTATATTTTAAAATATTTAGCCGGAAGTCTGTTAAAAAACTAAAATACTCATTTAAAGTGTACGTGATCTGCACAAACAGTACTAGGTATAATAAGATATTCGCCGAATTGTTGCCTAATCATGGTATTCAATGTGTAATAATTACAAAGATTCCCGCCAAGATGGCGGCCTTACACATATTTGGCGGTCTTCCTAACGTTCCGTTACTCACACGCACTGATTCATGAAGTTGTTGATACTAAACTCATTTGTACCGACACATGTGTGAAAAGCGAATGTGAAGAATGTGTTTTTACGTTACGATTGCCGTGTCATCGACATGTTATGTGATCTAAATGGTAAACCTACCCACTCACTATAAGTCAAGAAAATCATAATGGTCGGGGATAACTGGTACAGGAACTGAAGTAAACGCAACAGATAACATATATTTCCATTACTAGAATTAATAAACGTACTCAAATATAATGTAATGTATTTATAAAATGTATCTTTACATAGTATCAAATAAAGTCGTTTCTTTATGTTATGCGTTTAATCTTTTAAACTAAACAAGTGATTTTAATGCGGTTCACCAATAGAGACAGTGATTGAAAAGGAAGGTTTATATGTATAATACATGCATATTATATCTCTACTATAATATGCATTTCAAATTTTGTCGTAAAAACTTGTTTTTGTGCACTTATATTGCAAACGCTGGCTAAACCTTACGAGATAGACCAAAATAATGTACTACGGAATTGTATATCTAAAAAGATGTACAAAAAGTCCAAGATTGTATATGTCTATCTTCTAAGGATGACCCACAGAAACCATTTTTATCTTTTAAATATTAAAAAAATAAAGAGTTATTTACGAAGCTATTTTAAACAATACCTATAAGCTATTTTAATTATTTCTTATCTAATTAAATACATAAGATACTTTTTACATTTAATGTATATTAGAATTGCCCTTAACAGCATATCATAAAAATGAATATTTTTGAAGATATGGTTAGGGCCGTTTAAATGTGGGGGCCCAACGGCCGTACGACCTTCCCGGGTGGTAGCGGCCGGCAGGATCGGAACGGGCCTATAAATATGGCATATAAAGATGTCCTGTATCTGTGCCTGTAGTATAGTCCTATCATAATAATAGTATAATTTATTACTCCATACTGACACCACATTCGTAGTATTAGTGGTATCTACATTGCACCCTTGCTAAGCCGGGGCGGATCGCTAGTGAATAATAATTGAATGTTTTCATAAGTTAAGATGAAAAATAAATACAGATCACTTAACGACCTTCCAGTTTCTCACACACGCGGCCGTTTGATCCCAAACTAGGCTCAGCCTCTACTATGGTAACCAGGCTGCTGATAAACAAACTTATATAGTTTTAAATAGATACACATTATAGATAAATTACACCCAGACACAGAATAAATGACCGTGCTCATCACACAATATTTGTCCTGAGTGGGAATCGAACCCACGACCTCCGGTTTAGCAGTCAGGGTCACTAACCACTAGACTAACAGGCCGTCATTTCATTTCTCATATCATTCGTCAGTCAGTTTAGCTAAATTGATTGTAACACAAGTAATTTCGGCGCGGTTTCACGTCGATAAGGAGAGTAGGAGATAGAGTTAGGTGGGTTACTTTCAGGGTTGGTGCGATATGTGGAGGCATATTACAGGCTTATTATATAACGTATCACCCTGTACAATATGAGGAAAATACTATACATGTAGGTATGCACGCAATGAAACTCATTTATCTCTGAAGTAACTTTTTATACATACATATAACGATTTGTATAGGAGCCTACCGAAGCGTGAATATTCTGTTTAAATTCGATGACTAAACCGTCATTGACCAAATTAATCTTCACAGTTCACTTTCCCATTGAGAAACACATTTTTGTTTAACGGACAAACTTGTCGTTGCAAAACTAACCTCGTATTTTATACTCAGTGTTTATCAACTAGCTTTAGTCTCCGGTAATGAGTAATGTATTTTTACACAAGATGTGCCACTTATGGCCCAAACATTATAGTAATAGAGGAAATGAATCATTATTTACTCGGAACTATGATTCAAAGTTCCGGATTGATTCATCAAATTACTATAATCTTATAGTTCCGAATGAATTAAAGTCTTATGAGATGAGTAATAGTGTTTATTTTTGTTTGGTGAACCGCACGTGGTTAGGATGTTGTTGGCATGAGTAAATGTTGGCGCCTGCGCCGCGACGCGCCGTGGGAGAGCTGTGGAACTAATAATGTGTCACATTTATTCAACAGTATGTTACACCTAATTATGTACTTTTTATGATCTTGATGATTGTTTTCGAAAATATATAATTGTTAAAATCACATCGAAAGGTTATACCCATCCAAAAAAAAAAAAACATTCACAGCCGGGAGCTGAGATTCGAAGCGCAAAAAGTGTAAAACCGTGACAAATCGCCAAGGTATCATCTAAATTAATATTAAATTAATAATAAAATAAATTAATGTAAAATAAATTTCACAATATTCATTTTATTTAATGACATTTGAAAATAAAATATTTAAATTATGTTATAATTAATTGTTATGTGTTTGGTGCATTTAGGATGTAAACGAAATACGTGTGCCACTGTCACTGTCACACACACACACACACAGACACACACGCACACATTATTCTACCTAAATGTTCTTTTAAAAATCAGACATCTTTTTCTGTGTTGCCACAACAAAAAATATATAAGTATGTAGTGAGGTTATTTAGCGCTGGATCGTTATTGGCTGGCTTCAAGCTTTTGACACACCCACCAGAGTTCATATGACATAAAGTAGAGACTAAATGTTAATACGCAAATAAACACAAAACATTAAATGAGGTTTGTTATTTATTTTAATGTATGTAGGAGCAAGGTTGCAGACGGTCACCTTGTGTAGTACCGAAGCTGATCTGATATGACTGCATATATTATGTATATTAGTGACCTGTTAAAAGAAGTACCTACCCACGTGCTTCAGGTTTAGAGATTCTCTGATATTAATACATCTGAGTGATGTATTATCCGTGTGGTGAGGTATTAAGAATACGGAGTGTCACCACCCAGTGGCGGATTAACAGCAGGCTGAGTAGGCTGGAGCCTAGGGCGGCAAATTTGGCCCTAAATTGTTTTTT